GGAATTTGGGGCCAAAAAACAAGCATTTTTCTAGTTTCCAGACAAAAACTTGTGTTCAAGTGTATGGATCTCTCTGAAATTGTACTGCAAGGTACCATACCACAAAGGGAAGGCTGGGATTGAGTTTGGGGGTGGTGAATCATAAGGGGGTTCAAAAAATTTGGGGAGGGATTTTTTTTTCCTTTTTTTTCTTTAGAATTTTCCATTTTAAATTGGTTATTTCTGATTTATATATAAAAGCAAATAATAATGATATGGTTTGAATAGGTAAATTAAAAATTTTTAAGTTCTTAGACCACTTTCATTCTGTGTCAGAAACCTATGCTGTGTCAAATATTTAATTACAATCCAAATTCAGTGCTGTATCAAGCTTGAATGTTGTGTCCATACTTGCCCCAACTGTTCAGGGTTCGACCTCTGCGGTCATATCAAGCTGCGCCCCAGCGAAGCATTTTATCTTACCTGATTTAAGAATTTATTTGGCCTACTGAAAATTCAGATATTTTTGGTTCCTTTATTATTGTGATTGAAAAACAGTAAATGCTGGATATAAATAATGCTATAAAAATTTAAAGGCAAGCTTGCAAACCTATTCTGTCCCAAATTTGGCACTAATAAATACATCTCAAAAATTTCTGAATTTATAATATTTGTAAGTTTAAGTTATATACACATAGTAGGAATGTTGCAAAGGCAGTTCATGGCACTTTTTAATTCAAGGGGGTAGGCCTGGGGTATGAGAGACAACTCTTACAAATGTATTGGAAGTCATTGAGCATTTTAACCTAGCAGTTCTTGAAACATTGACGAAGATTTATTTTGTTTACATCTGTCTATGAGAATGATGCAGCAGCGTCTAAAAAATTGGACAAATTATACTCCACCAAGCATTAAATTAAAGATTTTTTTTTTTTAAAAGATTCAAAAATTAAAAGCTGATAAGGTAGAAAATTAATATTTATACATGAAATGCTTCTTAACAATTATGTATTGAGGAGTTTACAAATGCCTTTTGACATCATTCAGATAAAATCTTGGAAGGTTTGGGAAAAATTGAACTGAAAATAATGGATGGAACAATGAAGTTATAACAGTTTATTGTTTCTGTGCAAAGTGATAGGCCATACTTTAATACTACATGTCTTTGGTTTTCAAATTCAAAAGACAATGTTCTAGAAGATATGATCTGAACATCCATCCTAGTACAAGCTAATGCCAACAGATAACTTACATTAGTACAAACAACGTTCTTAGATAGTGACAGACTGTGTTTTTTTTTAGGGATACTTTAAAATTAGCATCTGCTAACTTATATTATACCAATATTGGTATGTTAATTTGTCCCAAGGGTAATAGTCCCATGCTGAATGTTACTAATTTTCCTTATAAGCTTGACTATAGTTATTATTGGGCCATACTACTTTCACTGAAGCATACAACAATAATGCAAAGAGGGACTGTAGAAGGTTTTATAAGGAAAAAATATGAATTTTGTCCAAAAACTTATTTTTTATACGACCGCAAAAAAATTTTGCGATCGTATGTTGGTATGACATTGGCGTCTGTGTCCGAAGACACATTGGTTTTCACTCTCTAACTTTAGTTTTTGAGAATGGATCTCTATGAAATTTTACCATAAGGTTCAATACCACAAAAGGAAGGTGGGGATTGATTTTGGGGGTTATGGTACCAACAGTTAAGGAATTAGGGGCCAAAAAGGGGCCAAAAATAAGCATTTTTGTAACTTCCAGACATAACTTGTGTGTAAGTGTATGGATCTCTCTGACATTGTACCACAAGGTTCCATATCACAAAGGGAATGCAGGGATTGATTTTGGGGGTAATTGCCTCCAAATTTTAGGAATTAGGGGCCAAAAAGGGGCAAAAAACAAGCATTTTTCTAGTTTCATGACAATAACTTGTGTGTTAGTGTATGGATCTCTCTGACATTCTACCACAAGGTTCCATATCACAAAGGGAATCTGGGATTGATTTTGGGGGTAATTGCCTCCAAATTTTAGGAATTAGGGGCCAAAAAGGGGCAAAAAACAAGCATTTTTCTAGTTTCATGACAATAACTTGTGTGTAAGAGTATGGATCTTTATGAAATTGTACTACAAGGTTCCATATCACAAAGGGAAAGCTGGAATAGAGTTTGGGGGTAATTGACCAAAAAGCTTAGGAAGAAGGGGCCAAAAATAAGCATTTTACTAGTTTCCAGACAATAATTTGTGTTCAAGTGTATGGATGTCTCTGAAATTGTACTGCAAGGTACCATACCACAAAGTGAAGGCTGCGGTTGATTTTGGGGGTAATTCCCTCAAAATTTTAGGAATTAGGGGCCATAAACGGGCAAAAAAACAAGCATTTTTCTAGTTTCAGGACAATAACTTGTGTGTAAGTGTATGGATCTTTATGAAATTGCACTGCAAGGTTCCATATCACAAAGGGAAAGCTGGGTTTGAGTTTGGGGGTAATTGCCCTAAACGTTTAGGAATTTGGGGCCAAAAAACAAGCATTTTTCTAGTTTCCAGACAAAAACTTGTGTTCAAGTGTATGGATCTCTCTGAAATTGTACTGCAAGGTACCATACCACAAAGGGAAGGCTGGGATTGAGTTTGGGGGTGGTGAATCATAAGGGGGTTCAAAAAATTTGGGGAGGGATTTTTTTTTCCTTTTTTTTCTTTAGAATTTTCCATTTTAAATTGGTTATTTCTGATTTATATATAAAAGCAAATAATAATGATATGGTTTGAATAGGTAAATTAAAAATTTTTAAGTTCTTAGACCACTTTCATTCTGTGTCAGAAACCTATGCTGTGTCAAATATTTAATTACAATCCAAATTCAGTGCTGTATCAAGCTTGAATGTTGTGTCCATACTTGCCCCAACTGTTCAGGGTTCGACCTCTGCGGTCATATCAAGCTGCGCCCCAGCGAAGCATTTTATCTTACCTGATTTAAGAATTTATTTGGCCTACTGAAAATTCAGATATTTTTGGTTCCTTTATTATTGTGATTGAAAAACAGTAAATGCTGGATATAAATAATGCTATAAAAATTTAAAGGCAAGCTTGCAAACCTATTCTGTCCCAAATTTGGCACTAATAAATACATCTCAAAAATTTCTGAATTTATAATATTTGTAAGTTTAAGTTATATACACATAGTAGGAATGTTGCAAAGGCAGTTCATGGCACTTTTTAATTCAAGGGGGTAGGCCTGGGGTATGAGAGACAACTCTTACAAATGTATTGGAAGTCATTGAGCATTTTAACCTAGCAGTTCTTGAAACATTGACGAAGATTTATTTTGTTTACATCTGTCTATGAGAATGATGCAGCAGCGTCTAAAAAATTGGACAAATTATACTCCACCAAGCATTAAATTAAAGAATTTTTTTTTTTAAAAGATTCAAAAATTAAAAGCTGATAAGGTAGAAAATTAATATTTATACATGAAATGCTTCTTAACAATTATGTATTGAGGAGTTTACAAATGCCTTTTGACATCATTCAGATAAAATCTTGGAAGGTTTGGGAAAAATTGAACTGAAAATAATGGATGGAACAATGAAGTTATAACAGTTTATTGTTTCTGTGCAAAGTGATAGGCCATACTTTAATACTACATGTCTTTGGTTTTCAAATTCAAAAGACAATGTTCTAGAAGATATGATCTGAACATCCATCCTAGTACAAGCTAATGTACAATAATGCAAAGAGGGACTGTAGAAGGTTTTATAAGGAAAAAATATGAATTTTGTCCAAAAACTTATTTTTTATACGACCGCAAAAAAATTTTGCGATCGTATGTTGGTATGACATTGGCGTCTGTGTCCGAAGACACATTGGTTTTCACTCTCTAACTTTAGTTTAAGAGAATGGATCTCTATGAAATTTTACCATAAGGTTCAATACCACAAAAGGAAGGTTGGGATTGATTTTGGGGGCTATGGTACCAACAGTTAAGGAAAAAAGGGGCCAAAAATAAGCATTTTTGTAACTTCCAGACATAACTTGTGTGTTAGTGTATGGAACTCTCTGACATTGTACCACAAGGTTCCATATCACAAAGGGAATGCTTGGATTGATTTTGGGGGTAATTGCCTCAAAATTTTAGGAATTAGGGGCCAAAAAAGGGGCAAAAAACAAGCATTTTTCTAGTTTCATGATAATAACTAGTGTGTAAGTGTATGGATCTTTCTGAAATTGTACTACAAGGTGCCATATCACAAAGGGAAAGCTGGAATTGAGTTTGGGTGTAATTGCCTCAAAATTTTAGGAATTAGGGGCAAAAAAGGGGCAAAAAACAAGCATTTTTCTAGTTTCAGGACAATAACTTGTGTGTAAGTGTATGGAACCAGGATCTTTATGAAATTGTACTACAAGGTTCCATATCACAAAGGGAACACAAGTTATTGTCTATTTTCCAGACAATAACTTGTGTTCACGTGTATGGATCTCTCTGAAATTGTACTGCAAGGTACCATACCACAAAGGGAAGGCTAGAATTGAGTTTGGGGGTGATGAATCATAAGGGGGTTCAAAAAATTTGGGGGAGGGCTTTTTTTTTTCCTTTTTTTTTCTTTAAAATTTTCCATTTTAAATTGGTTATTTCTGATTAATATATAAAAGCAAATAATAATGATATGGTTTGAATAGGTAAATTAAAATTTTTTAAGTTCTTAGACCACATTCATTCTGTGTCAGAAACTTATGCTGTGTCAAATATTTAATCACAATCCAAATTCAGTGCTGTATCAAGTTTGAATGTTGTGTCCATACTTGCCCCAACTGTTCAGGGTTCGACCTCTGCGGTCGTATCAAGCTGCGCCCAGCAGAGCATTTTATTTCTTATGTCTGTAGGTGAAATTGTTCGAAGATTTTGTTAATTTCAAACGGTCAAATTCCATAAAAGTTTGTTATTTTCAAGGTTTATAAACAATAATTGTTTCAGCAAAATTAATAACTTTTTTTTCTGACAAAGTTTTAAAAATAATTGTGTTATCTGAGAGTGCCAGAATTTTTACTTGTTCAAAAATTTTAGCTATTAATTTAAGCTCACCTGGCCCGAAGGGCCAAGTGAGCTTTTCTCATCACTTGGTGTCCGTCGTCGTCGTCGTCAATGTCCGTCGTCGTTAGCTTTTACAAAAATCTTCTCCTCTCAAACCACTGGGCCAAATTTATCCAAACTTGGCCACAATCATCATTAGGGTATCTAGTTTAAAGAATGTGTCCGATGACCCCGCCAACCAACCAAAATGGCCGCCATGGCTAAAAATAGAACATAGGAGTAAAATGTAGATTTTGGCTTACATCTCTGAAACCAAAGCATTTAGAGAAAATCTGACATATGGTAAAACTGATTATCAGGTCAAGATCTATCTGCCCTGAAATTTTCAGACAAATCTGACAACCCGTTGTTGGGTTGCTGCCCCTGAATCGGTAATTTTAAGGAAATTTTGCAGTTTTTATACGACCGCAAAAATTAAAAATTTTTTGGTCGTATATTGGTATGACGTTGGCGTCGTCGTCGTCGTCGTCGTCGTCGTCGTCGTCGTCTGGCGTCGTCCGGCATCGTCCGAAGACACATTGGTTTTCGCACTCTAACTTTAGTTTAAGTGAATGGATCTCCATGAAATTTTACCATAAGGTTCAATACCACGAAAGGAAGGTTGGGATTGATTTTGGGGGTTATGGTACCAACAGTTAAGGAATTAGGGGCCAAAAAGGGGCCAAAAATAAGCATTTTTGTAACTTCCAGACAATAACTTGTGTGTAAGTGTATGGATCTCTCTGACATTGTACCACAAGGTTCCATATCACATAGGGAAGGCTGTAATTGATTTTGGGGGTAATTGCCTCCAAATTTTAGGAATTAGGGGCCAAAAAAGGGGCAAAAAACAAGCATTTTTCTAGTTTCATGACAATTACTTGTGTGTAAGTGTTTGGATATTTCTTAAATTGTACTACAAGGTTCCATATCACAAAGGGAAAGCTGGAATTGAGTTTGGGGGTAATTGCCCGAAACGTTTAGGAATTGGGGGCCAAAAAGGGGCCAAAAATAAGCATTTTTCTAGTTTCCAGACAATAACTTGTGTTCAAGTGTATGGATCTCTCTGAAATTGTACTGCAAGATACCATACCACAAAGGGAAGGCTGGGATTGAGTTTGGGGGTGATGAATCATAAGGGGGTTCAAAAAATTTGGGGGGGGGGGGTTTCTTTTTTTTTTCTTTTTTTCCTTTTTTTTTTCTTTTAAAATTTTCCATTTTAAGTTGGTTATTTCTGATTTATATTTAAAAGCAAATAATAATGATATGGTAGGAGATACACACCAAACAGGATGTGTAAATTATTATACAATAAGTATTGTGCAATAGCAAGAAATTTTCAATTGCACAGTATTGCACAATAGCAAGAAATCTTCAATTGCACAGTATTGCGCAATAGCAAGAAATCTTCAATTGCACAGTATTGCGCAATAGCAAGAAATATCCAATAGCACAATATTGCGCAATAGCAAGAAATTGTCAATTGTACAGTATTGCGCAATAGCAAGAAATATTCAATTGCACAGTATTGTGCAAAAGAATATACTTCGTATAAATTGCTTATTTCTTGATCAATTTCAATGGGGTTTTATTCTTGAATTTTTGGGGTTCTTTAATATGCTGAATCTAACCATGTATTAAGTTTTTGGATTTTGGGCCCCGTTTTTAAATTGGTCCACATTGAGGTCCAAAGTGTCAAAAATTTAACTTTGTTTGATTTCATCAAAAATTGAATTATTGGGGTTCTTTGATATGCCGAATCTAACCGTGTATTTAGATTCTTAATTTTTGGTTCCGTTTTCAAATTGGTCTGCATAAAGGTCCAAAGGGTCCAAAATTAAACTTAGTTTGATTTCAACAAAAATTGAATATATGGGGTTCTTTGATATGCTGAATCTAACCATGCATTTAGATTTTTGATTATGGGCCCAGTTTTCAAGTTGGTCCAAATCGGGGTCCAAAATTAAACTTTGTTTGATTTCAACAAAAATTGAATACATGGGGTTCTTTGATATGATGAATCTAACCATGTATTTAGATTTTTGATTATGGGCCCAGTTTTCAAGTTGGTCCAAATCGGGGTCCAAAATTAAACTTTGTTTGATTTCAACAAAAATTGAATACATGGGGTTCTTTGATATGATGAATCTAACCATGTATTTAGATTTTTGATTATGGGCCCAGTTTTCAAGTTGGTCCAAATCGGGGTCCAAAATTAAACTTTGTTTGATTTCAACAAAAATTGAATATATGGGGTTCTTTCATATGCTGAATCTAACCGTGTATTAAGTTTTTGGATTTTGGGCCCCGTTTTTAAATTGGTCCACATTGAGGTCCAAAGGGTCCAAAATTTAACTTTGTTAGATTTCATCAAAAATTGAATTATTGGGGTTCTTTGATATGCCGAATCTAACCGTGTATTTAGATTCTTAATTTTGGTTCTGTTTTCAAATTGGTCTACATAAAGGTCCAAAGGGTCCAAAATTAAACTTAGTTTGATTTCATCAAAAATTGAATTTTTAGGGTTCTTTGATATGCTGAATCTAAACATGTGTTTAGATTTTTGATTATGGGCCCAGTTTTCAAGTTGGTCCAAATCGGGGTCCAAAATTAAACTTTATTTGATTTCAACAAAAATTGAATATATTGGGTTCTTTGATATGCTGAATCTAACCATGTATTTAGATTTTTGATTATAGGCCCAGTTTTCAAGTTGGTCCAAATCGGGGTCCAAAATTAAACTTTGTTTGATTTCAACAAAAATTGAATATATGGGGTTCTTTCATATGCTGAATCTAACCGTGTATTAAGTTTTTGGATTTTGGGCCCCGTTTTTAAATTGGTCCACATTGAGGTCCAAAGGGTCCAAAATTTAACTTTGTTAGATTTCATCAAAAATTGAATTATTGGGGTTCTTTGATATGCCGAATCTAACCGTGTATTTAGATTCTTAATTTTGGTTCCGTTTTCAAATTGGTCTACATAAAGGTCCAAAGGGTCCAAAATTAAACTTAGTTTGATTTTAACAAAAATTGAATTTTTAGGGTTCTTTGATATGCTGAATCTAAACATGTGTTTAGATTTTTGATTATGGGCCCAGTTTTCAAGTTGGTCCAAATCGGGGTCCAAAATTAAACTTTGTTTGATTTCAATAAAAATTGAATACATGGGGTTCTTTGATATGCTGAATCTAACCATGTATTTAGATTTTTGATTTTTGGTCCCCGTTATCAATTTTGTCCACATTGAGATCAAAAGGGTCCAAAATTAAACTTTGTTAGATTTCATCAAAAATTGAATTCTTGGGGTTCTTTGATATGCTGAATCTAACCATGTATTTAGATTTTGGATATTGGACCATAATAGGTGAATGTCCAATTTAAAAATTTTAAGTTCTTAGACCACATTCATTCTGTGTCAGAAACCTATGCTGTGTCAAATATTTAATCACAATCCAAATTCAGAGCTGTATCAAGCTTGAATGTTGTGTCCATACTTGCCCCAACTGTTCAGGGTTCGACCTCTGCGGTCGTATCAAGCTGCGCCCTGCGGAGCATTTTATTGGTTATTATCTTGAATATTATTATAGATAGAGATAAATTGTAAACAGCAATAATGTTCAGCAAAGTAAGATCTACAAATAAGTCGACATGACCAAAATTGTCAGTCGACACCTTTAGGAGTTATTGCCCTTTATATTCAATTTTTAACTATTTTTCGTAAATTTTTGTAATCTTTTACAAAAATGTTCTTCTCTGAAACTACTGAGACAAATTTAACCATACTTGGACATAATCATTATTAGGGTATCTAGTTTAAAAAATTTGTTCTATGACCCCGCCTTCCAACCATCATGGGCGACATGGTTAAAAATAGAACATAGGGGTAAAATGCAGTTTTTGGTTTATATCTCTGAAACTACAGCATTTAGAGCAAATCTGACAGGTGGCAAAAATGTTCATCAGAATTAGATTTATCTGCCCTGAAATTTTCAGACGAATCCGACAACCTGTTGTTGGGTTGCTGCCCCTGAGTTAGTAATTTTACAGAAATTTTGCAGTTTTTTGTTATTATCTTAGATATCATTATAATATCTAATATCTAATACTATTGATTATGATTTTAACCTTATTTTACATGATTTCCAAAGCATCAGTAAATACAGGTGAGCGACACACTTTAACTGTGAGGCTCTTGAGAGCCTCTAGTTCTTTCACGCTATCGATATTACCATGAAGTTTCCGAGTTTTACTTTAAGATATGTTTCTTAGCTACGCATTTTAACTGTTATTGATATTCCTATTGAGAACATGTGCAAAAACACAAAGATATATATATATATATGCCTACTAGTGACAGTGTTTTTAACCATTTTTAAGGGTACCCCCAAAACTGGTCATATTCAATATACCCTAATAAAAAAATGCAACAATGAATGTCAACAAGACTTGGCAGATGATGCATGGACCCCTATTCTTTTAATGGGTTAAATATAAGAAAAATTAAAAGAAAGAAAATTTTGTGGTTGTGTAATCCGTGATCACACCAAGCTCTTGATTTTGCCAACACTATGCATAGTTTTTGTTGCATAGTTTGTTCATCCCACCATGAAACATAGTTTTTGTTGCATAGTTTGTTCATCCCACCATGTTCATCCCACCATGAAACATAGTTTTTGTTGCATAGTTTGTTCATCCCACCATGCTCTTGATTTGGCCACCACTATGACACATAGTTTTTGTTGCATAGTTTGTTCATCCCACCATGCTCTTGATTTGGCCACCACTATGACACATAGTTTTTGTTGCATAGTTTGTTCATCCCACCATGCTCTTGATTTGGCCACCTCTATGACACATAGTTTTTGTTGCGTAGTCAGTTGATCCCACCCAGCTCTTGATTTTGCCACCACATTTGATCCCACCAAGCTCTTAATTTGGCCACCAACATGAAATGTATTTTTTGTGTGTAGTTGACCCGACCCAGCCAAAAAAATGGCCACCACTATGCGACAAAGTTTTTGTTGCAGAGTCAGTTGACCCAACCCAGACATTATTTTGGCCATTACCATGAAACATAGATTTTGTTGTGTAGTCAGTGATCCCACCCACCTCTTAATTTGGCCACCACTACGAGACATAGATTTTGTTGCATAGTCAGTTTGCTGGATGACAGCCCAAACAATGCTTTGATTTAGTGACATGCCCAAACTTAGATTAAAATGACCCTTAGGAAAGAACCTTGTTGGTTTTTTGGTCAATAGATCAAAAGTCACAAACTGAAATTTTGAGAAAGGTTTTATTTCCAGACAACTTCTTTTGCCATAAACCAGATTTTTACCAATCTTTGACTCTTATTGAATTTGAGGTCACTAAGTCAAAGATCAATTTCACAGTAGCATTTAATAAGAGTGAAATTTGGGGGGAAATTTTGGGAAAAAAAATTTCCAGACAACATTTTTTGTCGAGCCTTCGACTTTAGTCGAAAAAGCGAGACATAGCGATCCTACATTCCGTCGGCGTCGTCGTCGTCGTCGTCGTCGGCGGCGGCGGCGTCCACAAATATTCACTCTATGGTTAAAGTTTTTGAAATTTTAATAA